TGCTTCTGTGTTTTTTTTTCGGGGGGGGGGGGGGGGGGGGGGGAGCGTCCTAGTGCAGTCTTTCCTATTTAGGGTTCTCAGCTTCCATTCGATTCTTACTCCTCAAAGTTGCTGGTTTCTCATCTTTGGTTTCAGTTTGTGTGGTTTAGATGACATTACAAATTTGCTTTCTTAAAATTCATATATATGGAGTACAGCTTTTACTTGTAATACGTAATTTTTTTGCTATTGTCAATAGTGCTGTTTATGGGTTTATGCCTATTCTTTTAGTTGATAATACACATTCCATACTATACTAAGAAGCACACATCTAATCAATTTCAGCCAAAACTTGTATTCAGCCATTGTCATTTGTCGTCAATTACATAATACATATATCAATATTAAGGCAGCACCTTGTCACGACTTTTTCATGGAATAAGTCCGTGACAACCTTGATGCGTTGAACTTCTGTAGTTATAATGTTTGTTAAAAGGGTGTATATGTGTGACTGTGTTAGAGAAGATCGTTTCATTTTTATTACCCACCAAGTTGCTTGATATATTTGTATTTATTTGCAGACTGAGCAAAAGAAACAAGCTGCTGCAGATGTACTGTCTCAATATTCAGGATTTGTCATGGCATGCATTGGGAATCAAGTCCGGCCTTGTGACTTAAGGATGCACTTGATGAAGGTAACAACAGAGTAGTATTATCATCTGGACCCCAGTGTGTACGTAGCTTTAGGCATTTAGTTATGAGCGCAAAAGCCCTTGGGCTCTTAAGTGTTGAGTTCAAAGTATTAGGCTGACCTTAGAGATTTTGGTTATATTAAGACCCCTGGTTGGCAAGGAATTCCCTTGCCAGCAAGGAGACTGAGACCCTAGACTCTTTGCCAGAAGCTTTTCTTGCACGAGTTCATTTTCTGATCAAAACACTTAGAAACCATGTGTTCAACGTGTCCATCTGCTAACCTGGTTAAACACTTGGAGCACACTTGTTGGTCAATCAGTCAATGGTTAGAGTGTTAGACTGTCTTAATGTCTTAGATGTTTTTACTTGGACTGTAATTCCTCCCAGATCAGACCAGACTTGGATAGTTATAAAAATACAAAGAAACCAGACCAGACCAGTTCAGACCAGATCAACAATTTACAGTCCAAGTAAAAACATCCTTAGAGGGGTGATTTCTGTAAACGGTAACCTAGCATTGTATTGTTGCTCTATGAATGCCCCTCTGGTCTATAGAGGAGGATATGTTTTAAACTTTACGCTAGGGGTGGACCAGGTCCAGCTCAGGTTCCCTGTCATGGAAAGGTCGAAATGGTGAAACCGCAACTGGGTATACCAGGACGATCCTGGTCTGGTTCTGGGATCCGTTTTGAGCTCATTTTTCTCTTTAAAAACAGAACAGGTATGGACAGGTCAGGTCATAGTTTGAGGAAGCAGAACAGATCCAGCCAGTTCTCGGGGCCAGATTATGACCAGTTACAAGGTGCTGAACAGTAAAAATGGTCTGGGTTTGTGCAAAAACGTCTTGTCTGGTCCGTTTCCGGAACTGTGACTGGGACCTATTCCGCCCCTATTATGCACTCTTCACTCTTGAATCAATTCACTGCTTTCACTTTCTTTCTCTAACCACACTCACTCTAACCATCGATCATCATCAATGTTGTCTTCCTCAAAGTCCCTCTTTCCTCTTTTCTGTTTTTTTATTCTTGAATGTTTATCGTACACTTTTCTTCAGTAATTATATTGATTTTGCTTTGGGTATGCTGTATAACTCTGTGAATACCTTTGGACATGATTCAGGAAATTTCAAGCTTGCCAACAACTTTGAAGAGGGAGTCCCGTGTGGCATCTTCTCCTGACATAATGGGAGAATCTTCGAGCTCTGGTACTTCCAAGCTTGATAAAACTGATAGCTTTCGAGGTATATAGACTGGAAAACAGTATCCTCGCCTTTGTTTCCATCGAATCCCCAATCTGGTTATGCCCAACTCCCCCCCCACCCTCAATTTCTTGCAATACATAAATATTTTCAGTGTATATTAGGCTCGTCTATTGGTAATAATGGGTATCTACCCACCTCTTTTCTGTTTGTAAACTTTTTATGAAACATAAAGACCATTGTAAATATCCCTTTAAAGGATTTTTTTATCTTCAAAGTTCTCCTTTGGAATTGTGCAATTTGGAGTAGGGTGGGCTCAGTTCAAGTGTTGTTCAAATTTCAGAGGTTCCGGTCCACCATTTGCTAGAACCATAGTTAGGTGGTACAGTGCTGGTTTGGGTATACTGTCAACATATTTCTTCTTTAATTAAGTTGAACTACTATAGAAAACTGCATGGAAATGGGGAATTAAGATTTTCATTAATATTTGAAAAGAGTTGTTAGTTTGTTACGAACCTAGGGACCTACATATGATCAGACAAAAAATATAGTACAGAAAAGTACAGAACTTGTTTGCTTAAACAATGAGAAACGAGTACATAAAAAAAATTCATTTTAACAATCTATATACAGAGCAACATTTTCACATTTTTTTTGTTAACCCCAGATGATCTCAACTTCGCCGGGTTAATCATGTGCTTTCAAGAACCACCCCTAACCATTGAGAGATGTAAATTCAAGCCGTTCGAACAATTCGCTGAATTTCTACCGTCATCTATACATCACTGCACACAAGAAATCACTCTTAACAGATTAATTGCGTGAATCTTCAGGTTCACAGCAGAGCTCTTAGGAGAATTGTTGAGGTTTTTGGTAGGAATGTAGGATCGCCAAGTGACTTGACTATTTTAACCTTCACATTTCACTTGCCTCATGTTCATCTGATTGGATGTTTGGAACACTGTTTGAATGCTCCTGTTATTGTATCATATTTGTTGAGATATATGATGTTTTTACTTAGACTATTTTCAATCCCAGACTAGACTAGATTTAAATGGACCAGACCAGACTTTTATAAAATACATTGATCAGATCAATTTAGATCAGACCAGACCTCAACAAACTAGACTATCCAGCAAATTCCATCCAAGTAAAGACATTCATAATAGCTGATGCGTATGGTGCAACCCATAAACATTAGTTAGCCCAGGCCACTAGAGGGTCGGTCCAATCCAGCAGTGTGAAAGAAGCAATTAACTCGATCCATTCAATCAATGTTCGGGTCATCATTAAGGAACAGTTCTTTATCCTAATTATATCTCATTACATTTAAAAATAAACTTATAAACTATATCACTTCTTCTTCGTGTAAATAAATCTAAATTGCAAATTTCCTATTTTTTTAAGGGGGGGTTTAATGAGGTACAACGAGACAAGGTAATAGCAAATTAAAAGAGAAAATTTGGCAAAAACAATAGTATGGACTTTTGAGTGGATAAAAATATGACATTATTTCAAATTGGACATGAAAAAAAGATCGGATCTGAAGTAAGAGGGATTAAAATACCTTGCATCCTGCATTGCCTCCTCCCATCTCCCACCCTGACCTTTAATTTCCACTCTCCATCTTCTATGTGCATTATACTCGTTGTCCCGTTATATTTGTCCAACATCATAAATTTAGGTTTGAATTAATCTTCTTGTAATCATACTTTGTCAATTTGATACGAATCGCATAATTCCACTCTATTTAGTGACGACGTAACTACTTCTTACTTCCATTTTGGTGGAGTTGAGGCAATATATTTTACATCTTGCTAATGAGAAGATATTATGGCAAAAAAAAAAAGGAATTGACATTATCATCTTCTGCATATTTCTTACACTTATAGTATCTGTAAACATCCATACACACAAGAGTTGGTATTGACTTATCGGTCTAGTTAATGTCAAAAAAGAAAATCTCTCACTAATGATTCTTTAATATGCAAAAAGTGTGACACACCAATTGGTTCAAAAGATGTTAAGTCAATATATACTGGAACGCATAAATCGATCTATATTCCCATAGTTGTTCATCCTTCTGGATACAAAAATGAACAAAACTAAACCATTGACGTAGAGCGCGGCATCAATAATAAAAACATTTCAAAATATCGATAATCCAACCTTCTCAAATGAGAAAGATATTCCAAATAATGATAGAAACATTGATAGTATGAAATCTCAATAAACTACGTTTCTATTGGAATGCAATGAAATCGAAAAGCTATTAATATTAATGAGATATTTGTTTATGTTATTGTTATGAATGTCGTGAATGAAAACAATGGCAATGAGCCAACTTCAATTGATTAGTATCGACGAGGACATGATTGATCAAAATAGGGGTGAATTCAAGCTGGGGCCAGGTCAGGCCTAGGCCCGGGCAGGCCAACGGGTCTGAATAGGTGGACCCAAGACCGGCCCGAGTAGCCACCGGGTCCGGTCCGGGTCCGGGCTGGGCCAAGCCTCGGGCTTGGTTAATTTTTTTTTTGCTTATCTACCTATCCCTGACCCCCCTCACCCCCACCCCCAAACCCCTCCTAAACATCAAGCCTAACCCAGGTGGAACTCAAACAAATGAAAAAAACAAAAAAAAAAACAATTTGGCCCGAACCGGGCCTGGACCTGGTCGGGCCGGGTCTTGTTTTTGGTGACCCAAGCCCGGACCGGAAACCCCTTGGGTCGAGCCTACCCGGACCAGTCACTGACCGGGCCACCGGTTCAGGACTGGCCGGAACAGTGCCAGTCCCGGGTCGGGCCACCCGGCCCGAGTCCAAGCCTAGATCAAAATGGAATGAAGCAATTCAGACAAAATTGAAATCACTTTACAAATGTCATGCCAAAATGCTCAAAGTCAATGTGTTTTAAATGGATCGTTATGCAAAAAATCCTCAAGTGCAATGAGAAAAACGAAATCCCAAGACGGAAAGCCCAATGTGTTGCAAAAATAACACATTTATGTTTGGTCATATATTTATTTTAAATTCAAGTGCAGTTTTAGATCCTTTATTTTCATTCAAGGTCTAAGATGGCATATTTTCCTCATAAAGAGTAGACAAAGGCTCCCATAGGCCTCTAAACTATTTTTTGTTCAAGAAAAAAGTTTGGTTGATATTCATGGTCCTTTCTATTAACATAGTAGTACTTGCACAGTTCCACTGAAATATCAGATTGATTGGGAGATCCAGTAAAAACAACTATTAATTTACAAGTATGTGTTCAGAGTCAATATTTCATTCTAATCTAGAAGAGTTCTGGAGATGGCTTCAAGAAAACCTCATAATGATAGTGGTAACACACACTAAAGGCTTCAACAAATATGAACTTCAGCAGCATAGTGTAGAAGTTAAAAAACATCAACACTATACGACGCTGGAAAATCAAAGGGTTCACAAGTTAGGAACAAGTGAACAACTCTCTTACACAAGTGTGGGTCATAGTTACTTGGAATTCTTCTTGGCCTTGAACTCAGAGGCAGCGGCTTTGGCAGCAGATTTAGCTAGAGTAGTGGGTTTCAGAGAACTTTTAGGGTTTAATGCTTTTCTGATTTTGAAAACGGTCCATGCAGTCCCCATCGCATGCCCTGCAGCTTCAAGCCCTTCACTTGTTGCCTTCGCTGCCTCGTCCCCATACCTACAAAAGCCAAATCCTCAACTAAGCTAATGTTTAACTATCAGTGTATCACAACAGCTCCTTCATATCTTCCTAGAGTGAGTGTGTGTGGGAGTGTGGTTGGGGTACAGATAAAGCATCAAGTTTCATCGTAGTACTACCCCAGTATTCAGTCTATGCTTGCTAAAAGAATATCTGAATTTTACCTGTGAGAGACTAGTCCAGTTGTCACAGTTGACGATGTTGACATCACATTCTTTCCTGCTACTTCAACAGCATCACATATTCTGCCTAATGAGCAGAAAAGGAAAGTTGAACTTTAATTATTTATATTAATAAAGGAAGGAACTTTCCATCATTTGTAATGGAGCCAAAGATTCATTATTTTTTGGCTTGAGATTATGATGGAATAAAGCAAAATGGCTCACTAAACTGTCTGCGCTTCTTTGTTATGGAGCAGCGGTCAGTCCATGCAATTTTGGACGTGATTTTCACTATGGGTCATCCGGAAACAATCTCTCTGTGCTTTAGTACAGGGGTAAGACTGCGTACATCCAACCCCCCTTACCCCACCGTAGGTGGGAGCCTTTGCGGCACTGGAGTAAATGAAAAAAAAAGGAAGGAAGTTACTCCTTCCGTCCCCGCTCAAGATTTCTATTTGAGTTGTAGTAAAGGTTTAGCACTCTCAAATGATCACTTAATCATCAAATATTAAAATTATTACACCTATAACATACTACTAATAGTTATCATCAATGACCTCACTATATTATATACCCATCAAAACTACTTCTCAAAATATACTCAAATAACGTTATTTACTTATTGTCTAAATATCGTGCCATTTAGACAATAAGAAGTTTGGTTAATGAGAAGTTTCAATGAGAAGTTTAAGTCGGGACAGATGTAGTACATGTTTGGTTAATTGGACGAATTGAGTGTTTTTATGTTTGAAAGATATACTCTCACATCCAAATATTGAAGAGAGAAACATGGGTTTATAAGAACTTGAAACTAGCTAATTGATTAATCAAATCTTTTAGTGTGGTTTGATCCAAGTGTATAATGACCCAATTAAGTGACAACAATCAGTTGAACCATTTCAAATATCTTAACGATAAACCATGCTCGAACAATACTTTGAGACATGGGATTGGGTGGGAGGAGGCACTATAAGCGTATTACTTGTAATTATTTTACATAATGCAGCATTGCAACATATAATGATTCAGATGTTTATACCAAACTTGCTTCTCCTAATTCTCGCATTCTGGCAACTTGTGAAAGTGATGCACAGATAAGGGGATAACATAGGTATCTCGTAAAAACTGTGGACGATGTGTTTCCACTAGGAATAGAACTCTTGATCTGCACTATAAAAAGTAGTGTTGTTTACACTATTACTTGTTGTCATCCATATAAACATGTAGAGATAAAATTTGTGAGAAAAATTATGCACCAAGGTTCTACAGAAAATGTTATCCTACCTACATAAATGTTATGTTGCACAGAAACAGGTTCTACGATTATACAATGAGTACCGGTAAGTGATGTGTTATTTTTATTTGATTTTAATGTTACCTGAGAATATACTATTTGGTATATATGGGAGTATCAAATATGTCATTATGGAAATCGACAGAAATGTAGGTGCAACAATGTGAAAGTAAAGGTAAATAAGTAAATGAATGCAGGGAATTGCAAACATGGCATTGCACTCATCAGAAGGGAATTAGTTCATGGACCTTTATTTAATTTAATAAACTAAAACTTACCAAACTAATCAAGAGGAAAAGGTTATGTATCTTAAAAGATGTAGAAACAACATTGGAAATAAAAGTAGAGATCCGCTTGACATACTAAATCCATCCAGTGTGGCAAGTACCATTTCCCCAGGCAAGAGGCTAAAAAACTTCTTTCCTACTGAGGAGTTAGCAACAGAGCTGGTAACAAACCCTGAAACCTTAACAACTCCTGAAAGGACCCCGCTAGCCACTTTCTCAGTCATGCTTGTCACCCTTTTTACCCTGTGAACAGCCAAATGAGGACCAAATAAATTCAATATGGAGTATAACGTTTCCAGTAATTAAACCATTAATTCATCCAGAATATGATGATAAGACATTGATGAGTGAGGAAAAAATAAACCAAATGTTTATCGCCTCGCGTGGGTCGAGGGTGCAGGACATTTTTCCTTTTTGCATAAACAATACATGCAGGCAAACAACACCAAATCTGACTTAGCTCTTCTTCATAGCCTCAGTTTAGTTGAATTAAAAGAATATCATATACAACTCCCAAGGTTTATTAAAAATGTATTACTAACCATTATGGAACACAGTAGATATCATTTATGTCTACTGATATTCTTAAATTACATATAAATGATACAACACTGATATGAGCAAGGAAACCTTATATTATTATTATCATTACTATTGTTATTATTATTCCTATTCTGTTTTAAGCAGCTTCTTAATTAACACTTATCTCCTTTTATAAATATTCCTATTCTGCTTTAGTTAACTTCTTAATTAGTATTTATTTCCTTTTATAATTAGGACTCTTGTAATATCTATATAAGGGTCATCCGTATTATTCAATAAACAACTTCTGAAGAATTAATTCTTGTGTGTCTTGACAAGGTCTTCCTCGCTCACATTCTCTATTTCCTAGATCTGCAACGAGATCTCAACCACGGCCGTAGTGTTAGTATCAGAGCCATTACGTTCCTGCATTGTTTGCCTTACTCCGACTCCTCTCGTTTTGTTTTCTTTGCCCAGAAATAAAAAAAGCATTGTACTTTGTTCAGCATCTTTGCTTCTGTGTTTGCGTAGCCCTAATTTCACTGAATCTGTTTCCATAGCCCTGCCCTAATCATAATTACCAGGAGCAGCTCAAAATAAAAATCATGTGCACTTCTCTTGCTCCAGGAATCCCTAGTTCACTGCCCCTAGTAGCCTTCAAGCCGTTGCTCAAACCAATTTTAATTATTCCTATTCTGATTTTTTCTTTACAAAGGGCCCAAAAAAATGGATCATCAGGCTCTGCATGTCACCGTCCCTCAATTATTTTGTTTTGGTGTATTTTGTTTTGGTGATGAGTATGATTTATTATGCGCTTTCGATGAAAGATCGGTGCAACATATTGAGATTTTGAAATCTGACCGGTTTGAACTCCAAACTGTAGTATATTTTGATTCCTTCTTGGACACAATAACTGCCCACTTAGAACTTCAACAACAACAAGAACGTCCAAGCCTTATTCACCATCCTTCTGAATTATGGAACCCAAGTAACGAAATATATCACACACCGGTATCCAAGAGCAAATAAGAAAGGACTCAAAGGCGACCCTTGGTGCACTCTGATAGTAATAGGGAACTCTGCGGTCCTCCCTACACTAGTACGAACACTTGTAATACAAGCCTCATACATATCCATTATATATCCATGATGATACTGATATACTTACTTGATATCCCTTTTCTAGTTAAGGCCCACCAAAGGACTTCTCGAGGTACCCTATCATATGTCTTTAGTAAGTCAATGAACACCAAATGCAGATCCTTTTAGTGTCTCTATATTACTCAACAACTTGTCTAAGAAGGTGAATGGCATCAATTCTTGATCGTTCAGGCACAAAACCAATTTGATTCTTCGAGATTTTCACACTTTTCTGAAGTCTTTGCTCAACCACTCGCTCACAAATTTTCATGGTGTGACTCATAAGCTTAATCCATCGATAGTTGGCACATTCTTGTTTATCACCCTTATTTTTAATTTTTAAATAGAGGAATGAGTACTCTTTCGCTAACTCACTGACATTTTGTTGTTTCTCCAAATCATGTTGAAGAAATGTGTTAGTCACTCAATGTCTTTCTCCCCCAAACTTCTCTAAGTCTCGATTGGTATGCCATCTGGGCCCACTGCTTTCTTCCACCCCATCTTTCTCATAGCCATGTACTTTATTCCCATTGAACAAGGTATCAAAGTATGACCTCCAGCTCTCTTTTATTTCTTCGTCCTCCATTAGTACCCTTTGATCGACTTCATTCACACACTTGACTTTTCCGATATCTCGAGTCCTACAGCCATGAAGGCGAGCAAGTTTGTAAATATGTTTTTCTCCTTCCTTAGAGTTCAATTTTTCATACAATTCCGTGTTCACTTTTCCTCTTGCTTCCTTTACAGCTTTCTTTGCCCTTCTTCTAGCCTCCTTGTACTCTTCTATGTTCTCGTCGCTCCAACTTTTTCCCAATTTCTTATAGCATTCCCTTTTGGTCCTTATTGCTTGTTTCACCTCATCATTCCACCAAGATATGTCCTTTTTGGTTGCAGACATCCTTTAGATTCTACGAGTATCTCCTTCGCCACTTTGTTAATGGTGGACTCCGTTGATAACCACACATCATCCACATGTGCGCGATTATCAATAGACCATACATCTTCCTCCAACATTTTGTGTGCAAAACTTTGTTGGAGATTCCCCTCGAACTGCGCCACTTTATCTTTAGCTCCCCTTGTACCTTAACTCGTCTTCTCTTTTCACCTTGGAAATCAAGCACAAACATCATCATATGTTGAGTGACAACACTCTCACTTAGGATAACCTAACAATCAGTGTAGCTAGCTGTCCAAGTCATCCGTACTAATAAGTAGTCAATTTGGGTACCATTAGTTCCACTTCTATAGGTCATAAGGTGAGAGTCTCTTTTCTTGAACCAAGTGTTCATCACAGCCAACTCATATGTCGAGGCAAAATCCTGAATGTTCTTCCTCGCTTCATTTCTAGTGCCAAAACCATGTCCGTCATGGATACTCTCAAAATCATCATGACTTGGGCCCACATGCCCGTTGAGGTTATCTCTATGACCAACTTCTCTCCCCTTGGCACTCGTCGCATCATTTCCTCAAGATCCTCCCAAAATTGTTGAGTGATAGATGCATCCAATCCCACTTGTAGTGCATAAGCACTTACCACGGACACGATCTCATCTCTTATTATCAACTTAATGCTCCTGATGCGGTCGTTCTTCCTAAAGACTTCCACCACACCCTCAACATAATCATGTGCCACCATAATGCCTACTCCATTTCTGTTCCTCTCTCTCCCCGAATACCACAGCTTAAAACCTTCAGAATTAATCTCGCGTGCCTTTTCTCCAACCCACTTAGTTTCTTGCAGGCACATTATGCTGATATTCTTCCTCTTCATAACCTCAGCTATCTCATATGATCTTCCTGTAAGAGAGCCAACATTCCACGTTCCAAAACGCAATCTAGCACCTTGCCTTCTCTTCTTCACACCACATCGACCCCCACCATGCCCTTGCATATTTGACACCATCCTCGGGCATTGGAGTGGCGCATCGCTTCCGGGTGATAACCTATTAGCCTTAGCATTCTTATCACCACACCTAGGTTTATGAAGTGTAGCACAACCTTGCATATTTGACTCCACCCCCAGGCGGAGGGATGACGTGTCGCTTACGGGAGATGACCTAATTGTAGCAATATTCATATTTCGATTCATACCATGTATGTGACTAAGTGATACGGTTGGTCGTCACATGTCTACCACAGCACCGTCCTCCTTTATTTTGGCTTGCACCATGAAAATACGGTACACTTACCTACCATCGCATTCATCATCAATTCCACACCCAACAACTCCACAACCTCCTTCACAACCCACAGAAGAAACCCCGCCTCCAAATCCATCATCGCTAAACCTTACAGAGCCACTTCAAATAGCTCCCTTGCAATCAGCTACGGCTACGTCACAACAATAGCAATCTCTACCAACTCCATTGCTTCCAACTTCGGTGGCACCTCCAGAAAAGCTAAAATGCTGACAACTTATCTTTCTGGGTAGTGTTTTACACAAGATGAGCCATCTCTGCCATATGCCAAGGTCACCAGACCAATTCTTTCTATACCAGATCTGATAAGCTATGCTACAACTGTTCAATATATCATTGGGAGTGTCAATAAAGCATGTCGATGCACCTTCATCTGAGGTTGTAAGCCCAATGAATAGTCCGCAAGAAGGGATATTTATTTCATCAACAACATTGCATTGGCAATTTCCATCGGACATAGGGTTTTAACCTTTATGCTACACTTGGGCTCTAGTATCTTCGGGTAAAGTACCGAACTCGCAACAAAAGGATTTGATGGCCTCTTCTTGCATCAGCAATGTGTTTTTGAAGGACTTATGCATATGGACCAACAACTCAATTTCCATACTCCATTTTCTAGTTTCTTCGGTCAAGAGGCCAACCTAATCACAAGATTCACATGAAATGATGGAAGTGTCTAGTCTCTGTATGTAGTTGCATTGGTTATGCACAAACTACAAAAACGTGCATCTAGGACAATGTGATAAATGTTTTTCTAATCACACCATTTGATCATGGAAAAGACGGACACTACATGTTACTTTCCTTCAAGCTTGAGAACAAGCTTGATGTCCAAGAGGGGAGTAATGATATGAGCAAGGAAACCTTATACTCCCTCTGTCCCGAATTGAATTGCAAACTTTGACCGGCACAAGGATTAAGAAATGACAATAAATGATGCTTGCTTTTTACATTTTTGCACATCTTTCTAAAAGTAGATGTCTTTAAGTTAATGAGAAAAAAGTGAAAGTAAGGGTAAATTTGTCACTTTATTCTTATTTGCATACCTAAAATAGAAAGTGGAAAGCCATTTTGGGACAACCAAAATAGGAAATTTTGCAAATCCAATTGGGACGGAGGGAGTATTATTATTACTATTATTATTAATATTATACATATTCTGCTTTAGGCACCTTTTTAATTATTATTTATCTCCTTTATTATTTCCTTTTACAATTAAGACTCTTGTACTAACTATATAAGGATCGCCGTATTATTCAATAAATAGCTTGGGAAGAATTAATTCTTGTGTGGCTTGACAAGGCCGGGCACCGATTATTTCTAGCTTAAGCTTATTCTATTATTCCTCTCTCATATTCTCTATTTCCTAGATCTGAAACGAGATCTCAATCACGCCCGTAACAAGCACTTACATTAGTATTGCATATAATACTAACAACTGCCAAACGTATCTGTAATGTATTTCGCTTCCACAAGATATTCAATGGACATGGAGAAGGAGAGGAAAGATAGAATCCCGTGTTCAAGGCTTCCGCGGGTCCATATATTCAAGTTTTCGGGAACAAAGAGATTCTAAACTTTAACTCAATATTTAAAGAAGTTTTCAAACAGAGATTTGTAAAAGGGTACCATAAAGAAACAGGTTAAGGTAGCAGATATTTATTGCCTAGTGAATAAAAGGGTAACCGAAATGTATCCAAAACTCAACAAAGAGAACCGAAATTGAAAACAGGAGATGTAAACGTCAGGAGAAGAAAATATATCACCTCCTATCACTTCAGAGCAACAGGTAAAAATAACATCAACATAACTTTTCATGCTTATGTTTTCCATTCCAAATACTCCAAATAGAGCTTAAAGTTTAAACATTAGCAATTTGACGGACTTGGATGAAAACAAATATCTGTGAAAGCTAGTTTAAGCACAATAATTTAGTAGAGGCACAGATAGTGCATCAAAACATAGTCAAGCAGAATTCACAACAGTCTATCTAGAAAAGCACATAAACCCAAACCTTTTGATCCTTTTCATGGTCTGAGGACTGACCTCAGCATTGGAACCAGAGGCAACCCTATTCCTCATAACCTCATCCCCCCACTTCAATCTATCCACAGTGACATCACCGCACCACAAGATACCTTTTATCAGCTTCCCTGACCCGGAAGCCAGCAATTTCGCAGCTGAGCTACTGTAATCCTCCACATTGGGCGCCAAAGTTGTCCAATAAGCTGCACACCTCTCCTCCAACACCTCCTTCTTATTCTCTAACTTCAATTCAGCAGAGGAGACCTCCTGGGCCACAGTACCTCCCAAAACCTCAAACGCCTTTTCCTCCACCCTCTGCACGGAAAAGCTGGTAACACTGTCCAGAATTTTATCAAGCTCTTTAATCAAATTCTCCTGGCCTTTGGAAGCAATTGTAAGTCCATAGTTTAACACGTCATTCCCTACATCCTTTTCTTTTTCTTTGAGCTTCTCCTTCTTCTTCCCCTTTCCTTTCTCCTCCTCATCACTAGAATCTGAATCACCATCCTCGGTAGGAGCTCGAAACGAGAAGAAGTAATGTGAATCGTCAAGCTTCACAGAGGCCAGGTCCTTGGTTAAGGGCCACTGGATATCATCTGCGACCCTGGCGAAGACAGCAACGGTGTTGTTCCCCTGCCGAAGACGGTGTAGTAATAATTCGCCGGTGGCAAGCTCGACCGAGTACTGTTTATCAATCAAGTGGAGGATCGTACCCGGTACAAGCAGGAGGCTTTCTTCAACAGCCTCCGGAGGGGCAGACGGGGAATGGGGATGATTTCCACGGCCAGTTTCGTGATCTCCAGGAAAAAGATTCTCCGCATCCTTGGTGTCTACGACGGGGTACATTGGAGCCCGGTCGGAGGAAGAAGGCGAGTGATAGAACGGGTTTTGGAAATCCGGGTCGATCACTTGCGGGTACATGGGAGCCCGGTTCGGTTCCTGAGAAGCCATTGAAGAGAGGGAATTAGGGATTTGGAAGCTGCTTTGATTTGGTCGTTAATGAAGTTGGAAAGGAGAAAGAAGACGATGGCGTGGCGAGATGCATGTCAGTTCGTATACGAAAAATGCTTGTTACTGTTTAGGCGGGCTAAGAGTAACCAAAACAAGAATGAGGTAAGGTGTAAAAAATCTAAAAAATGTAACCCGACACGAGTGCAAATGTAACTTGTCTAGTAAATGTATCTCATCTTGATAAAAAATGTAACTGCAGGCAAATGTAACTCACCTTGATAAGAAATGTAACGACAGACAAGTGTAAATATAACTTGTCTAATACGGATTATAAAGAAAAAACATTGATTTCAATGAAAACAAAGAGTTTAATTGCTCAATACTTTACAAAAATAGTGAATATGTTTTTTTAATATAAAGGCCATAATTTTTTTTTAAATCATTTTTTTGTCAAAAAATCATTTTTTCGCCTTTTTTTTTGCAAAAAACTGATTTTTTTGTTTCAATAGCAGGTGCCTTCCTTAAATAATGAATATGTTCTATTTTTAATATTAATGATGGAGTATATGGCCCGAGAACCCCCGGCCCACAGACTCCTACTACTCCAATGAAGGCCCAACAGGCCCAGAAAGCACAACAGACCCAAATCACAGCGCCCAAAGCACCAAGCAGCCCACAATGCGCAGCAGGGGTGCCTTCGGCCAGGGGGGCGAAGGCACCCCTGGCCAAAGGCTCTAATTCTCACAGGAGGGCCAAGACAGGAAAACAAAGTTACTGAGAAAAACGGCGAAAATCAGTAGCCCTCGGCAACTGGAGCCCTCGACACTAAGGGGGTCCCCGGTACTCAGAGCCCTCGACTAGTCATCTACTGCCGAGGGCGCCTTTTCCGACATAATATCCGCTCCACATGCGTACAGATCACCGTACCCAGTGCAACGTCCCATCCAACAGCCGCATTAAATGCGGCCACATGCGTTTGCCAGCGCCAACCAGTTGAGGTGACCCCTCGACCAATGGATGCTTGACGCGTGTCCTTGTCCGGCATTTATTGCTACTATAAATAGCGCCTCATTTCCCCATTTGTAACCAAGTCACAACACACGCTGAAAACACTGAATACTTTCTAATATACTTTCTCTCTCTATACTCATTTGCTATGCCTTCTCTCTTGTTATTCCCCGTAATAACCCCTCGGATAAGCTACCCCCGGGTACATTATCCATCATTTGGTGCTCTCGTTGAGAGCCGAACAATCAAGTAAGAAACCCTCCCCCTCGACCAAACACAAAACACCTAGCTAAAATGGTGAGAACAACTCGTGCCAACTCCAAGAACGTAGAGGACAGGAACCTGGCCCTCGGCGAGGTCGACGTCCCCGAAGCCTCCAACAGGGCTCCCGGGGGCGGCGTCATCGCCGGGTTGGACCAGACGGCTGTCGACCTACGCCAGCAGATTCAACAAAATGCCCCCGATGCCCGCCTCGGCATCGAGGCCAAGAAGAAGGACCAGAGCGAAAATCAAATTAGCCCTCCGGTCATCACCATCGACGTACAATCGGCGCTCTCCGCCTTCATCCAGACGCTCACCCAGAACCCGGGTGCCTTCGGCACTTTGGTTCCCCACCAACCTCAGGTCGGGGAGAATATTATGCCTCCCCCTCATCCATGACCCCTCGGTAACCCGGTCCTTCGGATGGGGAACTCCGAGGGGGTCGTGGCCCAAGATACGGCCTCCTAGGAAGTCCAGTCCCGGGACCGCCACAACGTAAACAAGGAACAACTCCGGACCTCCGCCCTCGAGAGACTCGGAGGGGCGCAAGACCGCCTCGGGGGGAAGGCGTTCCAGAGGCCTCAGGAAAGTGGCGGGTCCGTCTCCAGGGCCAATGAAAGGCGTCCCCCTCAGGACAAGGGCAAGGCACCTCTCCATGCCGACGACACACGCCACCAAATCAACCAGGCCCACTCGGCCCGGGTCCATTCGCAAGGGGCGGAGGCCCTCCCGAAGGACCCCCGGGACGAAATCATTGCGGCCCTCCAGCACCGGCTTGACGAGATGGAGGCCACCAAAGACCACGCCACCACTTCTGCCCCTCATACAGACCTCAAGTATGAGGCAATGATGGCCAAGGTGGAAGAAATGCAGAAGAAGATAGCCGAGGGCTCTGGGGAGCCCACCATACAGCTCCGGACCCGGACACCATTTACCCCAAGGGTATTGGCGGCCCGGATCCCGGAAAAATACCGAGGGCAGCTCATCAAGCCCTATGACGGAAAGACTGACCCCCAAGAGCACTACAGCAAGTATCAAAACAGCATGATGATGGTGGGGGCATCAGATGAATATTTGTGCCGCTGGTTCCTCTCCACCTTAGAGGGGCCGGCCTACGAATGGTTCAATCGATTGCCCGAGGGCTGCATTGACTCATGGCAAGAACTCGCCCAGCGATTCTTGACGCAATTTGCGGGAAGGCGCCGCACAAGAAAACACTTCTCCCACTTGCTAACAGTGAGGCAGAAGAAGGAGGAGACCCTCCGGGACTTCTTGGAACGCTGGAGGACGGAGGCTGATAAAGTTGATGGCGCTGACGATGGGACCCTCCTGGCCCTCCTACAAACAGTACTCCGCCCCGGGAACTTCTCATGGAGCCTCATCATCGAACCCCCCCGCGATTATATAAGGGCCCTACAACGGGGGGACCGGTACGCCGAGGCCGAGGAGGTGGAGAAATGCCACCATGTCCCAGATCAGCAACGCCCTCGGCCAGACGACAAAGGTAACCGGGGGCCGGGGGCTCCCCGCAATCATCCCAAGGATTCTGCCCCCTCCAGTGATCGCCCCCGGCATGGCCAAGCCAAGTACCGAGGGTAGACACCACAATCCCCTACGACAAATGAAGGAAAAACGCCAAGTGTTTTCACAGAAGACCCCTCGGTACCAAGTACCGGGGGCCGTAAATCGGAACAAACACCAAGTGTTGTTTCTAAGCCGTACCCCTCGAGGACGCCTATACCAAAGGCGCCACCTCTCGGTGTCGGCAGCACGTAGTGCACCCGGCCATTTGCAACCAGTGTGCAAATGAAAACCCTTCCCTGAAACGCTTTCCGCGTCATCACCCCAAGGGTATGACAGGCACGAGAAATGCCCAGGATTCGACTTTCAAAAACGGAACGCTTTCCGCGTCATCACCCCAAGGGTATGACAGGCACGAGAAATGCCCAGGATTCGACTTCCAAACCGAAACGCTCCCCGCGCCACCACCCCAAGGGTATGGCAGGCCACGGACTATGTCTAGCACCGAGGGGACGACTTTCAAAACTGAGGCGCTTTCCGCGCCATCTCCCAAGGGGAGGCAGGCTACAGACCACCATATCTTGTACCCAGGAAACGACCCTCGATCCCCTCGGAACTCGGAAGGTTAACCCGAGGGGGGAGCTAATGGTGTATTCTGTTACCTCCCGATAGGCCAAGCCTTACCAAGAAACCAAGTTTCTTGAAGCCTTCCCTTCACTACTCAAAAAAAAATGGGGTGGTGAAGGGGAGTAGACTCGACAGAAATTCAACAAGTACATCACTCCTACAATTGACGGAAACATACCGAGGGCTCCCCAAGGGAACGCCTTCGGTACCTGGACGTTCATGAGTACCAAGGATACCATTCAACACAGACATCATCAACAAGTGGCTAAGTCCACTTAAGGATTGCCTTCGGCCATACCTAAAACCAAAGGTTCAAATGCTACAAAACATGGCGGGCCCAGCCAACAACAACTCAAAACGTCCCCGAAGGCTACTACATAACAAAACTATCAGATGGTGACCAAACCAAATCAAGAATCACCTCCGGCACCTCACTATATGCCGAGGGGATACATCCAGACAGTTTTCGAGGGAATCTGCCTTTTCATGCTAGACTTGGATTACAAATTCTCCTATACCAACATTGGGGGGACATAGCAAACAACCGAAGGCTTTTGGTTGCCACAAGCCAACATTACAAGGCAAAGGAAACTATCCTAACCCTACAACGTGTACAGCCAAAGGGTCCCCTCCCGAAGGCCAGCAGCAGGAAATACTTAGAGAAAATAATCTAAGTCCTAAATACTTTGCCCCCTGTGGGGTCACCATCCAGCCGAGGGCACGTCTGAGACAAGGCCCCCACATTCACCACATTCACCCGAAGGCTCCTCCTTCATACAAGCTACGCTTAGAAAAATTTTCTAAGTCCTACATATTTTGACCCTCGGTCAAATCTCCATGCTGCCCGGGGGGCCATACGGTTGAAGACTTGGTGAAGCTACACTTTGAAAAATTTTCCAAGTACTACATATTTTGACCCTCGGTCAAATCTCCATGCTGCCCGAGGGCTCCTACTTCATACATACTACACTTAAAAAAAATTCTAAGTCCCAGAAGTTTTTACCCTCGGTAAAATCTCCATGCAACCCGAGGGCCATACGGATGACGACTTGGTAAAAGTATACTTAGGAAAATATTCTAAGTTCTAACTATTTCTGGGCCCTCGGTCATATGTCCAGCCAGCGAAGGGTACCCAACTACCGAAGGCTAAACTGTATTCAAACACTTAGAAAAATTTTCTAAGTCCTAAGCACCTCGCCTCCGGCTATCTCACGAAGGCTACATAGAACCAGGGGGAAGGAACCGACCGGGGGCCAACAGATGAACAAACACTTCTAAGTCTTAACTGACTCAATATGCTTAGTGGACGAGGGCTACGAGAAGCACTACATTTGGAAGAATATATTCTAAGTCTTAAACATACATTCAGAAAAGCGAAGGCATACATTCAAAGAAGGGCGAAGGCATACATTCAAAGAAGGGCGAAGGCATACATTCAGAAAAGGCGAATGCATACATTCAAAAAAAACGAGGGCATACATTCAAAGAAAAATGGTCAAAGGAAACGAATTGTATACAAAAAGCCCGGAGGCAAGCATCCATTCATCAGAGAGGGAAAGAGTTGAAGTATTCATTACAAAAGGGCCGAAGCCAATAAGTACAACAGAATGTGATTACAAATTGGGGGGAACACATTTCACGAAGGGGGAGCTACAACATCGCCTTCGACAGGTGTGGAGACAGCCTCGCTTTCGGCCTCATCCCCATCACCCCCGAGACCGCAC